CTGTATATCTGTAGATTCTGTAGATGGTTGGAGGCTAGATTCTGGTTACGGTTGACCGTCAGACGGCCGGAATCAGCACACCCTCAGCCTCTACTCAGGTATGGCTGGAGATATCGTGGGCTTTTGAGATGTGGTGAGCTTGTCGGGTGGATGCTTGCTGAAGTAGCAGCATCATTCTCTTTGCAACCGGGCGCCAATATACTAGGAATTGGCCCTTTGTATGCGATTCTGATCCAATTGAAGCGCATGTCGATTTGCTTTGGTCGTCGTTGTTTGACTGTGTTTAGGGCGCAGTCCACGGCTACCTCGCTTGTCGGATTTGGATCGGGGTGGCTGGTTGTGGGTGTCCCATCTCGTCCAAGGTTGAAGCGGATTGTGCAAGCTTCCCTGGCATTGTAGTAATAGAGCTGCCAGTTCTGCTTACCGTAGCTGTGGCAAGCACCATGGGTAGAATGGAGCTGATGATTAGGATGCTCCGTTGTGTGGAGGGAGCTTGTCCGCTGGTTTGGGAGCTGGTTTTGGTTTGTTGTAGTGAGTTAGATAGTATGAAGTGGCCTGCCACTCTGGAGCGTGCTTCGGTTTCAGGTGGTATGATGCATCACTGTGGATGGTAGGATCATGCCGCTTGCATGGTATCTGAGCTTTGGCGTCTGGTGTGGGTGAAGCAATGTCTGTGAGTTGAGCTGCGTCCCTTGGTGGCCTGAGTTTCTTTGGTCTGGGCTGAGGCAAGTGTGCCAAGTGCTACTAGCATGGTTGAGTCCACAGACAACAAAGTAGCTTTTCCTCATAATCTTATAACATCATTCGTAATACATCTATCGCTACCTTTAGTCTCTTCAACACTCCTCACCACCACTCAGTCCGCCACCGTACCGGAATGTCCAAGGTGGTTTTCTTGTCGCCCCTGCAAGTTTGCATCAAATTTGCGGTTCGAGTTCGTGGCAGCCCCCTTCCGCTCTTCTGGATCCATGCATCCATCACAAGAAACGCAACACCACTCAACACCCACATGATCCCACACCTAACCAACACCAGGAGCTCACCAGGTCTATTTCGATAGCAATTTCGATCAGGGTTGCTGGTTCAATTAATATTTCATGAAATAGTTCAATTAGGGTTCACGAACCGGTTCATGAAGCGCACGTTCATGAAGTGGTTCATGGGGGGTTTGGGCCACTCATGAACTAGGTTCAAAGTTCATCAGAATACAAAATTTGGTGAACTTTTCCACATTATTGGTTCATGAGAATTCTGCACCATAAATGAGGCAACACAGGTCTAGTAAGCAAAAATTTCCTGACTTGCAAAGCCACCTTCAGTCCAACTATCCACCAGCTACACTTGTGCCAGGTTTGGTGACAAAATGTGTCGGCGTTTTGTTCTTGAATACGAGCATACAGCCTGTATTTGCTAACCATAACCCTGTATTTGCTAACCATAACCCTAGGTTTTGGTTCACGAATGGGTTCATGAATTGGTTCACGAGGCTGCTCAAAATTGGCATATTCACGAACTGGTTCAGTTCATGAGCATTACGTTACCCGAACTTTTGTCATGAACAGAGTTCGTATCCAAAATTAGTTGAACCAGGACCGTCCGACGGTTTTCGATAAGGATTTAAAAACATTGAAATTGCCACGACTGACAACATCCTCTTAAACATCCTCTTAACATCCTCTTAACATCCTCTTAAATCTTCAACTTCCTCTTAAACATCCTCTTAAATATACATCCTCTTAACAACATCCTCTTAAAGCTTCGAAACATCCTCTTAAGCCTTCATTGAAACGCCATAGAACTTCCTCTTATCACGAATGAACATCCTCTTAAATAAACATCCTCTTAACAACATCCTCTTAAACACTCAACATTCTCTTAAACATCCTCTTAAATCTTCACATCCTCTTACATCCGCTTAACGAGAACCAGGATTTTGAGTCAGTCGTGGCAGGTTTTAAAGCCTGAGAGAAGTCCGTCGGACGGTCCAGCAACCCTGATTTTGATAGCAATTTCGACATTTCGACACAGGAGGGCCGTTCACTACTAGCTAGTACCGGTACTGAGCTGAGTACTCCATGTACAGGACTGCTACACTGTACTGGACTGAGTCGAGTCGAGTGACAGCCATCACTTACGACTCGGAGCGCTTTCCCAATAAATAATATTACCCCTTCGGAAGCTTAAATACCCCTAAAAAAGCATGTGACTTACATGACATTGTATAAGGCCAGACCAGATCGAATGAGAATGCACGATGCTTCCGCTTATTTATTTTCTGAGTCAGTGGAGTCTTTCTCACCACAAAGAGCACCAATACATTTAACAGTTCCATGGCCTTGCTACAACTCAAACTTTCAACAGTGACTGCAGGGGCTCTCCAAGTAAGTCCGATTTCTCCGAGGTATCAAGGTGTTAAATGGCATAATCACTTTTCATTGGTTCGGCGTTCGGCAATCGAAGATTTTTAAAAGGAAGGACCTCAGAAGGCTTCTATGGTCACAAAGCCTGCGAAACAGTGTTCTATTAAGTTCTTCTGTTTACCGTGGCACCCAATTTAAAAGGTGGCAGGGACAGAAACAGGAGAAACAGCCCTCACCGACTCGACTCCGCCCAGCATTTCCCATGCAAACAATGTCATGTAGCTGTCATGTGCACTTCTTCCCCAACAAAGCGAACAGATCGAGCCACCTCCTCACTCCTCATCATTTCCTTCCAGCAATTAGCCATTCAATTTTCAATTCAATTCAATTCAAAACTAGATCAAGCATTACAAGTCCTTCGTACCTTACCTCATTCAAAGAGATTCCACAACAAGTAACTATACAACAGATCCAGTGACACAGGTGTTTTTCCTTCGTCAACGAAGAAGCTTTGGTTACCTTGTGATCATATAGAGCCGAACTTTTGTTGAGCTGTTGGTTTGTCTGAAGCTAGCAATCCACTTTAGCCCAGCCATCGCATCATATTCAATCCAAGACCTCGACTTGACCAAGGCCTGATACCGACCACCAAATCCCCACCACCAAAGTCCACCTACCTGATGACTGCAGTGATCGACAGTGAACCATCTCGTCTTCGTAGTAATACAAGCAGCAACAGCAACATCATCATGAGCAATCAACAACCGCAAGAACAACAACAACAACAACAGCAAGTGGACAGCACTCCTCCACCTCGAGAAGAAGACGAAGAAGAAGAAAAGTCCGAAACGCCTCCACAAGCGTACGACCCCGAACGCGTCTACACGCCCGAACAACTCGAAGTACTCAACGTCCTGGTCCATCCCATTTGGATATTTGACTTTTGTGATCGTCGCATGCGATGGGCCAATGAAGCGGGCTTGGAAATGTGGAATGCCAGTTCCTTGGAGGAACTACAGAATCGAGATTTCAACGACATTTCCGGTGCCGCCGCCAAACGCATGGAAGACTTTCTCGTCCAATGCGATCTCGGTCTCAACATGACCGAACAATGGACCATGTATCCCAAAGGCAAGGCCGTCACGGTACACATGAATGTCAGTGGCGTGCGATTGTCACAGGACGACGATCACAAGAGCCTCCTCTGTGAAGGCATTCCCTTGGTGAAGGAAGAATTGGTCAATGAATCACTGCGATCCATGGAAATGTTACGACACTTGCCCATGGCGGTTTGTCAATTCGATATGGAAGGAAAAGTCATGTTCCAGAATCCAGAAGCTGTGCTCTGGAAACACTCTTCGAACAACAATAGTAATAACAATAATCCACCAGGAGGAGGAGACCAAGAAAGCAAGGAGGATGACATGACCGATACCATTGACGGTTCCGCTACGGAAATCGACGACGACAATCGATCCACCACATCCACTACAACCAGCAGCAGTGGATCCACCGCGAACGCCGCTGCAAAGAAAATGGCCGGAAATTTACTCAATCGATTCGTTGACCCCAACATTGGGAAACAACTCTTGCAACAAATTCAAACGTCCACGGAACAATGTGACATGGAAGCCATGCTCAACACCAAAAAGGGACCCCGGTGGTCCGCCATTCAGGTACGCAAGGTCAAAGACCCAGTCACAGGAGAAAGTGTCATTCTATACAATGCCAGAGACAAGACCGATGCCGTCAATGCACGAAAAGAAAAACGAGCCAGAGAACAAAAGTCCGAGTTTCTGGCAATCATGGCGCATGAAATCAGGTACGTCGCAGGAAGGAATACCAGTCAACAAAAGTATGTCCTTGACTTCCACACACGCTAACCTGACGGATGCCCCCTTCCCCCCCTGTCACCACTTTGTAGAACACCGCTGCACCAGGTCACTGGCTTTATCGATCTCCTGGATCAAACATCCCTCAACACGGAACAGAAATCATTTGTCAAATTGCTACAATCCTCAGCGCAGGGACTCATGACTGTGATTAGTGATGTGCTCGACTATAGTAAGTTGGAAGCTGGCAAAATGAAACTGGAATGCATACCCCACGAAGTAAGATCCGTAGTGGAAGGTTCCATGGAAGCTGTACGACAGTCATGCGAAGAAAAGGACCTGTATCTCAAACTGGAATGGAACAAGGATATCCCCTTCAAGCTCATGGGAGATCCCAACCGATTGCGACAAATACTCCTCAATTTGCTGAGCAATGCTGCCAAATTCACCAAAAAGGGAGGGATCAGCGTGAAGGCCATGACGGTTGAAGAGAAGGTGACTATCACTAGCAAGGGCAGCAAGGAGAATCAAACCAACAACAACAGCAACAAAAGCGACAAAGTACCCATCCGACGACACAAAAGCAAACCGAGATTTCGTCCAATGGTCAAGTTTGTGGTGGAAGATACTGGAATGGGGATTTCGCAGGAGCATCGCGACGTCATTTTCCGAAAATACCAACAAGCAGACGTTTCCGTGGCGCGCAACTTTGGAGGTACGGGACTTGGCCTCAGCATTTGTCAATTGCTCACGCAAAACATGGGCGGGTCCATCGGGGTAGACAGCACCGTGGGAAAGGGGTCCCAATTTTGGTTCACACTACCAGCCGTTGTTCCCACCGAAAAGGATCCAGTTGAATCAAGTGAAAGTGACATTACGGAGGAACTGGGAAATCAACTGCAAGTGCTTGTAGTCGAAGACAACAAGGTGAACCAAAAGCTCATGGTCACCATGCTGAAGCGGATGGGCCACGCATGCGCTTTGGCAGAAAATGGCAAAGAGGCAATTGACATGATCGAAAAGACTGAATATCACTTGGTTCTAATGGACATTCAGGTATGTAGCATGGGTTGAGCCAAAAAGTGAAACGATTGATGTCCCCGTGCCTCAGCGACTTTTTGTCTTGAATGAAACTTTTGCAGATGCCTGTGATGGATGGTTTAGAAGCAACAAGGCGACTGCGAAGTATGGGGTACAACAATCTACCAATCTATGGACTTACTGCCAGTGTCGCACGATCAGATTTCAGAGAATTTGGATTCAACGATTGGCTGCCAAAGCCGATTCCGATGAAGGCTCTCAAAGCCAAACTGCATCACTTCAAACAAAATCACTTTCAACAGGCAACTCACACTGGACCACAATAACGAATCGGGCTGGGGGTGCCCGGGAACACCCACAGGGCTTTTAGATTGGCAGCTAGGGGCACTCCTGCTGGTTTGGATTGGTGCATCATGTGAAGACGCAGCTTTCTGTTGCTGCCAGCAGGGGTACGGTACTAGTAGAAGCAGTTGGGGTTCTAATTTGTAGTCCAGGTTTCCAAATCGAAATCTTTTCATTTGTTTATTCTAGAATGCTGCGCATCTATGTGGTGCATCGCTTTTGGTAGCGGTGTGAATGGTGGCGGTATGTTGTTGTAGAATCGTTACATCACATCAATCGACTTTGAACGTTGAAACTCTTGATATCTGCCAAATAACATCCTGCGAGTTTCTCTGCGGGATGATGTATCATTCCCATGCCTTGGATAATAGCATCAGACAGTGCTCAGAAGATCAGCTTGTAGTTTGACCATGTCAGGCAAACGGCAAAACATGCAAGGAGCAGCGTCGCACCTCCAAACAAAACCTGTTCGACCGAGACTGACGGGCCTTTCTTCAGCTGCTGCCCGGGCGTTTGGTATTGGTATCGAGATGAGTATGACATGGTGGATTATTTCAAGGAAATGAGATGAGTTGGATCGTTACCGATGGTGTGTCTGCTGGCCCTGCATTATTTGTGAAACCTGGGTCTGGCTTGACTGGACTGGTCTGCAAGATGGATGCATGCGTTCGCTTCCAAGCAACCTTTATTCCAGGTTTGTCAAAAAGTGGCCAGCAAGTTCTACGGCATTCGCTTCACTGCAGAAGGTGAAGATACGGGTTAAATCTTTCAACCCAAAAGAAAGTTCCTGGGGGGCACAATCGACAAAGGAGAATTTCATCCGTGCTGAACCTACCGTTTGCTACCGGTACTGGTAGTACCCTGGCCGGCTACCCTTTGGTTGCAACTCCAAAGAAATGGAGTTTGGAAGATTTGTTTTGCTCCACCTCCACCATCTAAAATCCAATATCTATCTAGCTAGTAGGCATGGCCTAAAACCCAGGAAGAGTACCGACGCCTTCGTTCATTGCAGGTCGCCTTACAGTTGGCGGCATTCGCAGTGCGCGCAGTACCGATGCGGATCTATCAGCGGAAGAGGTCTGGTTGCGTTCATCTCATGCCTGGATGCAACCCAAAACAGAGTGCTGTCCTGGATCTCGTTATTGCTTCTCTCGGTACTGCATGAAGGTGAGACAGCCACGCATCAACTTTGCTAGTGTTGCCCAGCTTTATTGTCTAGCTACAATCCTTGACTCTCGTGAAGTTCGCAACACCACGACCGTACTGAAGCACCACAGCCATCATTCCAAACAGCGAAAAGGAGCAGCTTCAATGAACGACACATCGCTGGTACTGTACTAGCTAGTAGCTAGAAAGATTTGTCTTGAAGCAAACTCGCCTAATTCGTGAACTCCAAGGTTGTGAGATGTGACGAAGCAGTTTTGGGATGTTCGAGCTTCTCCAATGCCTCGACGAAGGACCAAGATGTCTTCAATTAGAATCTAGCCAACCGATTTCATGTAACAGCAATGTTTTTCGGCGGAGCACCGCGACCCGCCGAAAGACCTATCTGTTGGAGCCATTGAATAGCTCTAGCTGCATGGTGGTTTGATTGTCGACTTGCTTCGTCGAGCAAATACGACGCGTCACCGTTGCGGGCTTCGCCGTTGCCTACCAGGCTCTAACGGGAGCCGTAACTGTTTTCCAACGCAAGCATGCTCGCCAGAATTGAGTCGAACGAGTCGAATAGAATTTGGAAATTCCTCCGCAACAGCTTATCGACCAATCCCTACAGCCACGGTACCACACGACGCTGACTAAAGCTTCTTGTTGTTGTCTTGGCTGGCTACTAGGAAAAGATAGAGGTGGTGGCCACCCATTCCATTTCAGATCTATATTTAGGTGTTGTGTTGTTGGTGCTGTAGCAAAACAGGAAACTGTGGGCATGACACGGGGGCAATTTATTTGATTCGGCGGCTTTGTGGATCAACCTCTCGTGAGAATACTTTGGCGTGGAAAGCACGAGGCCACAGAGCTGGCAAATTTGGTCTAGCTAGTAGACACCGTTTCTGAAGATGCCTCCAAAGCGGAAACCCGAAGAAAAGGCAGAAGGAGAAACAACAATCAAAGAGGAAGAAGGAAATGAAAAACTTAGGGCAACGGAGCCAGCAGGCAAGAAGAAAAGTGCCTGGACGGCATCTGAAGACGACGCTCTGCTAAAGGCTGTGATCGAAGATCAGCAGGATCGAGAAGCAGAAGGGAATGGGGATGAAGAGGAAGATTGGGACGAGATTGCAAAGTCAATTCCAAACAAGACGCCTGTGCAATGCTTGAAAAGGTACATGTCTTTGAACAAAAAGGGCCAAGCCAAGGGGGCTCCAGAACCTCAATCGGTACCAACAATACCAACAATACCATTAGTACCTGTGGCGGCAGCAGCGGCGCCACCACCGCCGCCGCCACCACCACCACCTCCGCTTTCATCAGCGTCTGGGGAAGAGGCGCTTGACAATGCAGAAATGCTGCCACCTCCTGCCAAGAAACCCAGAAAGGACACCGATCCTTCATCTAGATGGACTAGTGAAGAGATTGAACTCCTGAAAAAGCTAGTGGAACAGTACAAAGACAGTAAGTTTAGTTCAATTATGGAAGTTGAGTCCGACTGGCCAAATATGATTAACTCACCATCTTTTGTCATCTTTTGATCCAGCTGCCCCCCGTTGGAATGAGGTCGCGGCTAACTTTCATGATCACAATGCCATTGACTGCCTCACAAAATGGCAAACTCTGACGAATCCTCCCGTCATCAAAGGCAAGGGGTCGTGGACAGCTGAAGAAGACAATGTCCTTAGAGAAAAACGACAGCTTTATGGTAGGAAATGGGCGAAGATTGCTGCCCATCTTCCGGGACGTCAGGGCAAGCAGTGCCGAGAACGCTTTGTCAATCACCTAGACCCTGAACTGAAAAAGGGAGAATGGACGGATGACGAAGAAGCCATTCTGATTGCCATGCATGAACATCACGGCAACCGATGGGCCAACATCTCCAAGCAACTTCCTGGTCGTTCCGATAATGATGTCAAGAATCATTGGTACTCGACCATCCAACGAAAATTCCAACAGCACGGAAAAGATGTGAGTTATTTCATACGCTGAGGAAGCTCCATTATTGGTTTCTGTTTTATTTTCATCTCATATGCGTATTTGTTCCACCGACTTGATTCTTTCAGAAACTGATCCAAGCTGCACTGCAGCAGGTTCAAATGATGCAATCCATGGGGACTCTTCCGACCCAACAGCCGCCAACGACGACACATTGGCCATCCGGGCCGTACAATCAGGCCACAACGGCGCCTCATCATGCCCCGCCTCCTCCCGCTTATCCGCACCATCACACGTATCCGCAGGGAAGCGGTTACCCTCCTCCATATCCGCCACAACCACAACACCCCCCTGGCAGTGCACCGGACACCGGCGGTCCGCCACCTCCCTATATGTACCCACCTCATCCTTCTCAACATCCTTCTCACATGCCACCTCCACATCCTTACTACCATCCACACTATCCACCTCCTCCACGACATGCTGCGCCTCCTCACGGAGCCCACGGATCGTCGCCACCTTCTGCGCATGCTGCGGCGCGTCCTGGAGGACCACCAGGAGACGGCTCGCCCAACAAAGACGGATCTCCGGCCAAAGATGGGGCTCCGATGGATGGTCCAGGGCAATACCCCCCAATGCCGCCTCCCGACTACGGTATGCCGCCCATGGGAACGTCTCCACGAGGACAAGACCCTCGGGGTGCACCACCTGGTTCGTCTTCTACATAATCGCTGCCCTATGAAAAGGCACACAAAAACTGATGTGCTGTCTGTCCTCAAAAACCTTGTTGAAGTTGAAATGCGTCGCTCAGTGGAGCGACTGCTTTGTCCCCGCCTGCATGATGCATCATCGGGTTGACATCCTTCCGTGAAATGCCAACTGTCCAGCATTGTCATGTTTGAGACTTTGGCGCTATATGTTATACATGTGGTCGTAAACGTGAATTCGAGCTGCTACTAGGGAAATGTAGATAACGCAAACACAAACAAACATTGCTTTAGAATAAGTTTCTGCGTCAAGGTGTTCCTGGCTAATGCGCCATGCCGTTGATGGGTGTCTTTTCACCCGCTGCAGCTCTACCTGATTCGATTCTCTCTTCGTTCTGATCTGGTGTTGTTGCGGTGCTCGACTTTGCCTCGCATAGACGCTGCGGTCAACGAACCGTTCCTCTCACAGGAAAACTCATTCAAGCTGTTTACCACATCTGGGCCTACCATGATACACTCTTTCCCAGCACCTCGAGGTAAAGGCCTCCAATTGGTGCTCTATTTATGTAAAAACATAGTTTTGGAGATTTCCATTTCATGAGTCTTAAGTCATATCAGACAGTCATAAGGATTACAATAATCGTCTGATGGCTTTTAGCGATTGTCTTACAATCGTCTGAAGCATTGAAATCGTCTGAAGCCTTGTCAGACAATCGCTGAAAGCCTTCAGACGATTTCAATGCTTCAGACGATTATGTCAGACAGATGACTGCACTATGAGTGCTCAGTACCGTTTATGACTAAGAGAACCAGCGATCGTCTTAAGGATTTAGCGATCGTCTGAAGTAGGATTTAGCGATTGTCTGACAAGTGTCTGACACATATCTAAAATCGTCTGAAGCAATGGATAGTTTCTTTCAGACGATTATCAGACGATTCTCCTTGGAAAGCCATAATGCCAGTTCTGAAACTGTCAATTTTACTCCTTTTCAATCAAATGGGATTTTTACCTCGAGGTGCAGAGTGACAACCTACTTGATCGTTACCGTGCGAAATCCTATTGATCGCATCATTAGCACTTCTAAGCCTATCGGTATAGTAAGCTTTAGCTGTCCGTTTCAAAAAGCAACACATTAACTGTTATCTTGATGGCAATTTTGCCTCTGATCCATAGAATCTAGTACCAAACATAATGAATGATATTCAGCAACGTCTCTTTGCATTCTGTGATTCTTCCTCTCTTCTTCATTTTCCTTTGCTCAAGAATCCCACCACCAAGCACAGATGCTTCGTTGGAATCTTACAATGACCATGAATTTCATACGACTGCTTAGGACTTCAAATTTGTTCATCCACATGACCAAATTCTTGATTGATATCTGCTTTGGCTGGTCTCCAACTTGTTTGGAATCGGGAAGTTGATGGCCTCCAGTAATTGCCTTCGCTCTGGATCAAGCTTCTTGTCTTTATCCAACCGCCGAAGGACCTCAGCCCAAGTCAAAAAGTTTCTTACTCTGAACACGAGTGGTCGCATTCTTGGATTCCTCCTCTGCATATGCTTTGAGATTGACTTGAAACTTTGAATCATCTCCTTCTTGTGGATTGCCGTCTGCTCCTTCATTTCATGAAAACCCAATCGGTTTAATAGTTCATGTCTCCAGTCTATGAGGCTTTCCTTGTCTTTCTTTGTCTTTCCTCTGCCTCTAGCTAGAGCCATCCATACAATCGTTTGTAGGGTGGCCTATCAGGTCAGGGACAAAGCAATGTCCAAACTGACGATGAAACTGTTCCAACTGCTTATACATTTTGATCCAATTCTTGTCCCTCCAATTGGTCATCTTCCTACCGTCAGCTGAGACGTCGGTCTCTTCTGTGTTGTCACCATCAGTCAAGGTCATCTCTTTGTCATCAGCTAGAACACCGTTGTCATACATGTCTCCTCCTACTAGCTGTAGCAATGACAATTCTGTCCTGAGGCCGCTCTCTACCGGAGGGACTAAAGTAGCGACTAAAGGAATCCTTTAGGTGGTTGTTTAGTTCAAGATTTAGTCATTATCCTTTAGTAATGGTGGTGTCTACCAGCAGATGACTAAATCTCGGACTAAACAATTTAGTCGAGTGTTTAGTCAAAACGTGGTGTCTACCGGTACCATGGCGACTAAACAAACAAACGACTAAACGGAACACTACCGGACTTAAAGGACTCAGAAAAGATTTAACAAACATGATCACTAGGTGGGCTACCAATATTCTATCAGCAAGGTGGATTTAAAGGACTCAAACAAAAGACTTAATAGAATTGATTACTTTTTTGAGATAACAAGACTGAGATAACAAGACTCAAAACACACCTCTACTCGTTTGCACCTCTACTACCGGTATCATTCAGTCAAAGGCCGAGAAATGAAAGCCATCCTGCACTCCATGCTCTGCAATGAGGGATGGCTTTCTATTCTCAACCGAAGACTGTCATTCGATCGTTCGATCGTTTGCACCTCTTCGATCGTTCGATCGTTTGCACCTCTACTATCGGCCGATACTCCTCTTGGATCGTTCGATCGGTTGCACCTCTACTATCGGCCGATACTCCTCTTGGATGGTTCGATCGGTTGCACCTCTACTATCGGCCGATACTCCTCTTGGATGGTTCGATCGGTTGCACCTCTACTCTATCAGCTCTGTGGCGATGCTCTGATAGTGAGGCTGTGCAATGAGAGGGTGCTGTTCTTTTTTTAAAGTGCTGTTCTTTTTTAAAAAGTGCTGTTCTTCTTAAAGAAGCTTTAGTCGTTATGTTCGCTCACCGACTAACCAGCCTCCCGTTAGTCGGTGAGCGAACATAATGACTAAAGCCTTTAGTCCGTGGGACGTTTAGTCGCTTGGGTAGACACCACCTTCAGAGACTAAACTATCGACTAAACTACGAAATATGGCTTAGTCGCTACTTTAGTCGCTTGGGTAGAGAGCGGCCTGAGTCCCTGATGGATCTTTCAACCAACATACTGGTAGCTAGCAGAGCTGCTAGAGCTATCGTACAGCACGGTACAGCGTACCGGTACCAGGTACCGGTACGACTGTACCGGTACCGGTACGACTGTACCGGTACCGGTACCACCAGCACATGACAGAAATTTGAAGGGGCAAGCGGCCGCACGATCAAGCCGGTGGCTCGATCCAAAATCCAACGAAACACTGAAACAACAACTCGCCCTAAGCACCCATTGGATTAACCGTACTACCATACCACCATGTCCTTGAACCGATTCAACAAAGCGGACCTTCCTCACTGCGAGGAAATCACTCGTGATGCTTGCATTGCTAGCTTCTTGACAGATGAAGGGCTTTGTGATATCACGTTGAAAGGAAAAGACGGCGTTTCTGTAAACGCTAACCGCTTTTGGCTAGCAGCACGAAGCAGAGTCTTTCGCAGTATGCTTCTTGGTGAATTTTCAGAGGCAAAGAAAGATGTAATTCCCTTGGGCTATAATGGCTGTGTATTGAAGGCACTTGTGGAGTATATTGTGACTGATCGGGCTCTAGTGCTGGAAAATGAGGGACAAGAAAGTGATGGTGAACTTGTGTCATTGATGGCAGCTGCCATGTTCTTTGAGCTGCCTGGCTTGTGTGAGAAGCTTTTGATAACATTTCCCGTACATTGCGAAAGCAACCTTCATCCTCAGTTGCCATTTTGGAGGCTTGCCAAAAAGAAGGGCCAGCTGTTCCAACTCAGCTGAAGCGCTTGGCAATCTCAAATCTTGTCTCAAATCTGGATACCTTGGACCAGGCTGCTGTTTCGTTTTTAAGTGCTGAGTCTGTGGAAGAGATTCTTAAGTGTGACACTACCAAAGCTGATGAATTTTGTCTCTTTGAAGTTTTGTTGAATTGGGTAAAAGGGAAGAAGGACACCGTCAATGATGAGCACACTGAGCCACGAGAGACAATTGCCTCTCAGTTGGTGAAAAAGTATATTCGGCTGGATTGGATTGACCCTGAGCTTTTAGGCACCTCTGTCAAGTCGTCGAGTTTTGTGCCACAAGAACTCCTGTTGGACGCTTTTCAAAAGCAAGCCCTCGCCGCTAAGCAGGAACATAATGTGGTGTTCAAACGAGCCCGCAACAGTTTCGTCTGGAGCAACTCACTGACAGAAATGTCAAGTGCGCCTGTAGTTGAAGGAGACGATCCTGGATCTGATTCCATTGGCTGCCCTCAGATGACCACTGGTGTGCATGAATGGACTCTTGAGCTTGTCGAGAAGAGCAGAGGTGATTATGTCGGAATTTGTCTCGGAAACATTGACAAGTCCAAATATCTGGGGAGTCAAAAGGGTGGATGTGTCTTGACTAGATGGAAAAAAGCTTTCCGCAATGGGAAAGATGAGTCCGACGGCCACCCTATCTTTGATCAAGGCTCGAGAATCACCTTGACATTGAACTTGTTACCAAATGAGGAACGGAATGGGACACTCCATGTATCAGTCAACGGTGGTGAACCTTCCCCAGTCTTTGACAATCTCCGAGAGGAGTTGCCGAGTAGCAATGATGGCTTTGTGCCAGCTGTATCAAACTATTCTGGTGGCACATTCCGCCTTGTTCGAATTGAACGATTCGTCTGAGCTATTGGAGAATGCAATGAGGAGGAAAGGCAATCTATGGCCCTTCGATGATGCCGTTATTGGTGACAAATTGTGCTTTCAATTGATGACTGGGATGTGGGAGGAGATTGTGGATGGATCATGAGCAGGGACGCCTATCAGTCGGCCCGTCCAGTGAAATTGAATTATTGATCTAGCAGATAAACATATGTAGGCACTATCAATAAAGCTTATTAAATACAACGTAGTGCACATGCCAGCTTGATTTGGAATTTCTGACGATTAGCTAGCAACATGAATGTCCTAAGAGATCAGAAGCAAAGATTGCTTTCCGGGGCAGGTGTGGACGGGCACACCTATGCACGGTTCCAGGCAAAACCTATCAGTACTGGTACTGTACATGTCTCCATGATCAGGACCTTTCACAAGCTACTGATCTGGGGATTCAATTACAAAGCTGACCTTGCAGTGTACCAGGTCCCATATCTCAATTCTCCCTCGAACGGCACCGGTTGGCCTGCCGGAACGGTGTTTTTCACTTATTAACTGGCTTACAACACAAAAATATTATTTTTGGTCTTTTGCTCCTCAGACGGGTGTCCAGCTACTGGTACCGGTACCTGGTAGCTAGTCTAGGAAATTTGACGATGCAGCAGCTCATGCATCGTGATGGCCAGCTGATCATCAATCATAACACTGGACTCCGAACTCTGAAGGGCAGCTACATATATTTGTCCATCATGGATCAGACAGAACAGATTCACTGGGAGACAACAAGCAGATAACGGATTGCTTGCATTATTCAGAATACTAAGAAATCAAATCAAGAGACAACAACGTTTAAAAAAGAATACATTGTGAAAGAGGAAATATCGCTTCGATGCAATGTCTCCCTCCAACAACAGAACAACTCCAGGTGTCGTTCGTACACTGGTTTTGCTGTGCATGGCAACATTGACCTTTATTGTTGTCGGCTCTTTCAACATATCGGATAATGCGGCTCCAGCAGGATACCCTTCCTTTTTGGCGGAACCCCCCAGTTGGACTCTCTTTCGTGGGTACTGGAAGTCGGAACGGCAATGTCGAGCTCTTGCCAAACAGCTTAGAGAGACACATCCAACAGGCGTTTGCCGAGGTGATCCCAAATGTCCCACAATGGTCCACACCGAAACTCTAATGTCGCGAGGGGATTCTCTGGACCCAAGACAAGAACAGCTCCTAGTCCTTTCTTTTTTGGCTACCCAGCACTCCTCCCTCATTCTCAATATTCTGGTCTCCGAAGCAGACTTCCAGCAGCCTCCAAAATGGCTTTCTTCCTTGCTGGAACACGAGGAATATGGGAAAAGAATTCAGTTGAATCTGTGGGACTTTGGAAAGCTTGACTTGCACCCTGATCAACTGGAAGGTCTTCAGGCTGCCTACAACGATATCCCATCACTTGCCAGCAAGAGTGATCTACGGCGTTATGCAGTGCTGTACCACTACGGTGGCCTTTGGCTTGACACCGACACGATCTTTGTGAATGATGTACGCCCCTTGATGGGTCTGGACTTTGTCTACGTTGCTGGCAAGATGTTCAATGGGGCTGCCATGGGTGCTTCCCGAAAACAATCCACATTTATGAGAAGGATCATTGAACATGCCGTATATCTTTATAAGTACAACAACGATGGGGCGTACTATAGATTTGCAGGGTACTTGTTCCAAGATTTGTGGGACCAAAAGCCTGCGCCCTTCTTTGCTTTGAGTGGATGTTTGTTTGATGACGGTTGGGGTGGGCACTTTCAACAGGCTCCTGCGTCTTGGAGTGACATTTGGAGCCGACCCACGACAAGATCCATCAATGCATTCTTTCAGGATCCAAACGGCGTTTTTACCTATCATTGGCACGGGCATGGAGTATGGGGCACCAAGATACAGCCCAAGTCATTCGCCTCGGTGGCACATGCCAACTATGTCAGACAGCTACAATTGGATCCGACAATATTCCATCCTGCAGAAGAAGAAGATTGGAAACAGTAGTGTGTTGTGCAGATCAGAACCAATACCACATCATCCAGCACCTACTGGAACGTCCTGCATCGCTGGGCTTTCTTCTTGTCTCCCAAACTCTTGGGCATGATGCCGGTCGCTCGTGGACGGGCCGAAAAAGAAAAGACTCTTTGATTACAACGCAGCGTTGATCCGTTAGCAACTCTTTAGTTGCTACCGCGGTAGTCTTCGATCGGTTTGGAGACCGAAAGACTCTCGTGGCAGTAGTGCAGCATCCACTGCAACCTCGTCGATGGTGCAAAAACAGGGTTTTGTTTCTTACGGAACAGCAGCGCTATGTCTCATGACAAGGACCAGCTATGAACGCTGTGAACATGCTACGGTAGGTTGCCTACCTCGAGCCTGTGGAGAGAAGTCTATGGAAAGTCACTCAAAATTTTTGGCGCCATACAATTTTTTAAAAACCTACCATACGCGTAGCGTTGCAAAGAGTGGTTTTCTTTGTATTTCTGTGCCTGCTCTCTCTGCGTCATTCATTGAGATAGTGCTTTGTATGGCGTTTGGTCCTTGCAAAAACTGCTCCACAAAACATCGTCTCCTTGATTTTCAAATTGAATTCAATCATGTGCTTGTGTGTGTGCTATGATTACCGAATCAACGTCCGCACACCCAATGTCACCATGAGACCGGAGAATCCCCATCTGAGCGCATTTTCATGGATTTGCAATCCAATTCGTCCTCCTAGATATCCCCCACAAAAAGCTCCTGCCGCGAGAGCGGGTGCCACTCTCATGGCGACATTGCCCTTTTTGAAATGGGTAAGGGTTCCCGAAATGGCTGGCAATGCCATGGCGCAGAGACTGGTCCCCAGAGCTTGATAATGATTGACATCGGTAAAGAGTGTCAATGCCGGTACGACTACGGCTCCTCCTCCCACTCCAAAGAGTCCCGCCAAAAATCCGGACCCCAGCCCAATCATGGCCGGTGGCAACAGTCGTTGTGGCCAAGATGAATTATTGGTGGCTTTGTCTTGTTGTGGCATTAAATTCTTGTCGTTTGCTTCTTCTGTTGGTAATAGTGGATTGTCATTATTGTCATTACTGGTCAGATACCCTTTGAGAGGAACCAACGGCGCGACCAGAATCATGAACACTCCCAATGCTTTTTTCAGATGGCGTGCCGACAGATAGGTCGTGACGGATGCTCCCAGTCCAGCCGTGACAATCCCACAGGCGGCAATGGCGGCGGCCGCATCGTATTGGACTTGTCCTTGGTATCCGAGTGCCCCAGCGACTCCCGTGGCGGCAACGGCAAACAGACTGGTGCCGTGTGCTTGATGTTGTGTCAATCCCAGCAATTGGCGGGATGTCATTAAGGGAATCATGACGAATCCACCTCCCATGCCGGCTAGCGAGCCCATTAATCCGGCGAGGGATCCAATGGCGAAACTTTTGGGGAGAAGATTTGTGTCAATACTAGAAGTAGAGGCATGATCTGGATTCTTGTGGACACTCGATTCGTTATTATTTTTGACAGGATTATTCTTCTTGGTGGTTGCTGTCGTTCTGGATGTACTGCTGCTAGTGGTTCTTCTAGTCAAGGTGGATCGGTGAATTGCTTGTGACAGAGCTTTTCTTCGTGGGGCCCATGCCAAGGCGGTTCTACTAGCAGTGGAAATCATGTTGGTAGCTAGCTAGTATTTCCTCATAAGCAGCATCAATGGACCGGAGTGATGTGCTTCTTGGAGTTGCCTTTGACCTTGCTTGGGTTTTGGGTTTGTCCATCTTCGAGCTCGTCATTTTTTTGCTTTCCGATCAGTTGGATGGAAGATGGAAGCAACGTCAGCGAACTCAGAGTTCTCATTCCCAACCCTAACAACAGCGTCTGAAATCTGTCCTGTCGGAGGCAGTTTTGGCCAACCAAGATCGTTGACAACACCGTTGGAATCGCAACCTCATCTTTCTTGTTCCCTTCCTGCTGTTGAGTGTATCCTCGTCTACCCCTCCGACGTGGATAGACCCATCCTGTTTGACCGTAAGAGCAGTAAAAGCAGCAAGAATGCCATCTACGAGTCCCAAAAAGAGAAAGGCAACGCCGTCTTCCTCCACGAAAAAGAAAAAGGCAAAATCCACCAAAGCTGCTGCGTCGGCTACTACTAGTATTAATGCTACCCAAAGTAATGCTACAAAAACAGTGACAATCCACGTGAACAAGCCAGATGCCACAGTGGATCCCATTCTCGTTTCGTTTCCCGGTGGTGTTCCCACAGAGTCTCCTCCGTTATTGCAATGGAGTCAAAAAGATTCCAAGAATCCTGCGGGACGGACCATTCGCGGTCAAAACAATCAAGGGATCCTCTACACGGCATCTAGCAATGGCATTGCCTTTGACGAACGCAGTACCAAACTCGCCGTTGGTGTCTACGACCGTCACACGGGCACTCTGACCATTCATCAAACGGCATCACGAGGAACTGTGTATAGTCTCCAACAACATTTGCTGGCATACAAGGAATCACTGCAACCGGAAATGACGGATGACGGACAAGTCTACTCGACGACGCAAAAACTATTTGACGATTTCGGATCGGCCAAAAAGCAGCGCGTCCTCAAATCACAAGCCGCCAATCGCGTCAATGTCGATACCGTCATTGGATCGGGGATTGCACAACCGACAACACAAATGAGCGAGTCCAATCGCAAGGCCGTCGAACATGCCAAACAAAATCCAGACAGTAGTGTTCCATCCGTCTTGTCGGCCATTGAAATCGCACACGAAAAAGCTCGCAAGGAACTATTGCCACCCTTTGATATGACACAGGCCGATCAACCCTGTGCCGTATTTCAATTCCATCAGAGTGTCACACCGGAAGCCTGGGCTACTATTGGTGCCACCATTAATACGTGTCTTCAACACAACAAAAAGAATTTTGTACAAGAATTGACACGCGGGAAACCACGCATGGCACCCGATGGCAGTGGCATGATGGCGGTTTGGCCACCCGAAAAACGAGGATGGTCCCAAACTATTTTGGATACGCTCCAAAAGGCACCCATTTCACAAGCGCGCACCGAAGATGCCAATGTCGCCAAAACTCCCGCATCGGCCAAATATGAACTCCGGTGTATTCTACTCTTGCATTACATGATTCGATTCTATACGCAATTCCACAGATCCGTTCCCAAAGGACGTCGCGCATTGGCCGTGGAACCCATTAACGAAGGCTATTCCAAATGGTACGGCATTCCCAATGTCGTCGCCCAACCGCTGTTGGATCAGTTTGCCACGGAACAGGCCGACGCCCGCAAGTTTCGAAACAAAACCAATCTCCCAGGAATGGTCATGTCACCCACCGACAATGACAAGTGTTTGGTGCACATTCTGTTGCTCTACGTGCGAGCACGCGGTGGAGCCGCCATGAAATTGGACGATTTGGTGCCCCTGCTCGAAGAATTTGCGATTGACCAAACCAAGGCGACACAACTCTTGCGAACGGCGGGATGTACCATTGTGCCGCAGGGCCGCAAAATTCGAGTCGTCTTGACCGCGCCCGTGACATTTCCCAAACCCAAGCGTATGGGAGGAAATAAGGCCAAGCGATAATAATAAGCGGCTAATACTTGTGTATGGATGATTCGATTCGTGTCATGTGCGTGTGTTTTCTGGTGACGAAGTGACGAAGGACTCTACTAGCTCGTTTTGTATCTAGCTAGCTAATGTTGGTTAGTTAGAGGTAAATGTACCCGTAGACCAGGATCCGACATGGTAGGTTGGAAATGATGGCACCTGATTGATCAGTTGCCATCACAACAGCAGTCAATAGACTGCAAGGAGTCGGATGTCACCAATGGACAACCAACAACAGCAAATCAGCACCATCATGACCTCTCTAGCTAGCTACCGGTACTGGTACATGAAGTAGCGACAAGCTCTCCAAACCAAACCATCATGCTCGGACAAGGACGTTTTGCTTTTGCTGAACCGACAAGGAAAGCCTCTCTAAACCCCCGTCATCTTGTGATCGAGGGTCAAGGGGTCAAGGGGGTGCAGGTTGGTGGTTTTGGGCGTCACTTACGAACCCAAAAGAAGCACCGGGAAAAGATGTACTGGTACACTGGTACTCAGGTTCCACCCAAAGGGTTAAATTACAGGGAGCGTTATTGCTTTGCTTTGCTTGGTGGATGATTTGAGATTCAGGTAGATGATGTAAAACGTTTTTATTGCATGAAAGTAATGTTAGTATTTTTGACTCTAAAACTTCAACTCTATAATTACCCTTACTACCTAGATCAGCTATTGGGAACTTCCGGAACCAAAACGCTTTTTTAAAGGACGGCACGAGGTTCGCATAAGGTTCGCAAGGATTGCCCATGAATAAGGCGTCATCAAGACCTCAATAGCCAAGGTGTGAGATTATTGAAGCTGTAGCTCACCAGGCTTCACTATCTAAGTAAACAGCATGCATAGCAGTACACAAGCCATGCCCTTGGTACATAACATGGACAAACCAAACTGTAACAAACAGTATTTGGAGACGCAGAAAGGTAATAAAACAACCTAAACTAAGCTCACAATTTGATAATCTTTCATGGTAGCATGCGAGGTTTCGATACAATTACATCGAATTGTCAACACCAAAACCTCTATCTGAATAAGCAGTCAAGATAGACGAGACAGAGATCAACCGATTAGCAGAGGAAGCGAGAAGAGCGACTCTCGACCGTGCTGATAGGTTACGACGTCGCAACAAACAAAGAGTAGAGGAACAACAAAGGAGGAGGGCAACGTACGAAGCCATAGCAGCACCTCCAACAGTTGAACAACGAACAGCCGGAACAATGGCAACCATCAACCTCACTCAAGAAGCCTTGCAGAACATCATGCAAGAAGCGATGAAGGTAGCATTCACCCACGCAGCGCAAGCGTCGACAGCTACTTTCAGCGTCGTCCCAGGAGGAGGAAGCCAAGATAAAACATGGGATCTTACCTCCGACAAAGGGATGAAATATTATACAAATGCCACAAGGGAGCCGGTATTAAAATATGATGGAACAGTAGAGAAGTTGCATCACTTCTTAGGATTTATAAGAAAGAGAGCAACTACTTACGGAATAATGCCCATTCTAGAGGCTATTAGCATAGGCGATGGCAAAACCAAGTCCATGGTTACCGAATACGGATCAATCACGGAGGCACAAGTCAAAGCCCATGCGGCGATATATCAAAAGGAGGATAATAGGAAAAGGCAAGCGGCTTCCATGCTTGAAGCACTAGTTGCAAACAGTCTGGAACCCGACGTATACGATGAACTCGAACAAAGGGAGGACAAGTACACTATCGATGTCGTACCAACTGGAGGGACAGATTCAGTTTCCAGAATCGATGGAGTAATGATTTTTTACCAATTAATCCAAATGGTATGTGTAGACACCAAAGCAACCGTGTCTAACATACTTGATCTATTGTCACGAGCAGGCTTAGTTCAAGCCATGGCTGATGCCGAATCAGACATCCAACTATTCAATAGAAAAGTGAATGGACTCATAGCATCACTCAAGTCACGACAAGCGGGCATACCCCATCTGATCGCCCCGTTATTCAAGGCGTACCAGAAGTGCGAAGATAAAGCATTCGCACAGTACTTCGCGAGGAAAGAGGAGTTGTATGAAGATGGTTCCCTCATTGGGCTGAAATATTCAGTTCTGATGAGAATGGCAAGTGAGCGGTACAAGATCATCAAGGACAAAGGCGAATGGAAACCGGAAACGAAAGAGGAGCTGGACTTCATGGCACTGACCGCCAAGCTGGAAGAAAGGCACAAGAAGCAGCTAACACAACAACCCATCCAAGGACAACGTCAAGGTGGCAGGGACAGGCAAGGTCCCAACAACACTGGAGAATGGGCTTGGAAAGGAGTGGCCCCGAAAGAAGGGGAGCCAGTGGAAAAGAAGTTCAGAGGCAAGCAATACATCTATTGCCCCCATCATGGATCGACCAAGTGGGTGCTCAAGATCAACAGACAAGGCGTTGTGCATGCCACGAACTGCCGAGCTAGGCAGAAGGAGGAAAAGCCAAAGATAGCCATGTCAGCCACTACCGACGAGGGCTCCACGACTGAAGGCAGCGATTACACGCCAACCAAAAAGGAGCTACTCATGGCACAAGCACTAGCAGCAGTGATAGAGGGTGATGACTGGCCAGACACACCAGAGGACGAAGAGCTACACACCTCGAAAAGGGGATGATGCGGCAAGGAGGATGAACAGGCCCCGCCATGGCAACACAACGTAATGAGCTTTTGTACGTATATAGTACTAATCTCGTTAAGCAAGTTGATCAACGGATGGGCAGCCCTCTTGCATCAAGTACAGTATAAAGAAAATAAAGTAACTAGTTCGTTTCCTTTCTTACTCATAATGCCGATACAAGCGCCCTTCAGAGGATGTGAGTGTCTGACACGAGGAATGGATATGCTGCGGAACGGACGTGTTGCGAGCAGACTATGGGGGATGGTACGACTTGCGACAGCACAGACTATTTTTGCAGCCTTTATCACAGCGCAAGTGATCGCTCCAGCGATAGTTCTGTTTCTGTCGGAATACGAACCAGTGTTACCAATAGTGCTGTCTGCACTCATGGTAAGGGGAGTATGGCATTGCGTGATCAACTGTCACAAGCCACCAAAATACGTGCCAAAGCGTCAATAACCAATGGCAAGAGCGAGAGCAACAATCGAAGCAATGTGGACAGCGCCAAGGAAAGCGGCAGGATATGCACAACTTCGGATCAGTCAAGGCACAGATTGGGCAAACAAGTCGATCAACGAAGCGCGAAAGAGAAGGATCGGCAGAGCAATTTGGGATAAGGCAATACAAGAGATAAAGGTCGAAAACCCAAGAAAGAGTGCCAGGAAAGCAACCAGGCACGTAGTATTCGCGATGATGCACTATCGTCTCAACAACACACGATAAGTGCATTACATTCAGTCATGGAAGCACTGACAGCAACGGCAGCAGGGTCATCAGGGGTATCGGAGCACTACTACGACTCGGACTCCTTCGTCATAGCGGTAGACAATTGCTCCAGCCGATGCATCACCAACTCAATGATGGACTTTGTGGGCACGCCGGAGCGCATCAATGTGAGAGTGAAAGGAATAGGAGGAGATGGCGCTGCCACCTACCGCGGAACAGTCAGGTGGATCATTCAAGACGATTCCGGAGCTACGCACACTTGGCTGATACCAGACACGTATTACCACAAGAAGTCGCCCTATCGCTTATTGTCCCCGCAGCACTGGGCACAAACGAGGCAAGACAACGACAAGAGAGGCACGATGTGTGCGACCTACTACGACGCAGTGAAGCTGTTCTGGGACGACTGTAAATTCGTCCGTACCGTCCCACTTGACGGCTCATCGAACATCGCGCTGATAAGGTCTCAGCCAGCGTACTTGCGATTCAATTCCTTCTGCATGAAGATAGCCGACACTGGAGACGCTAGTCACTTGGACGAGAGGGAACTATTGAGTCTGCCGGCAGTACAGCTAGTCTCTGACGACGAGATGACCGACGATGAGTCAGTGGCCGATGATATGGAGAACAGGCTTCATCCGGACCTACCCGATGTATTGTTCGATGTACAGCAACACACGGATGAGTTCCGCAACAACAACAGTGAGGCACCGTCAAAGCCAACGTACAGCGTCGTGCCTGAGGATGAGGACGTGCAATACCAATCACCACAGGCAAGGTTCTTAGCGCTCCACTACAAGCACGCGCACTTATCGCCGGAGAAGATGAAAGCACTGGCCCGCAGAGGCCAGCTGCCATCCGCGATCCTAAAGTGCGACATGCCGAAATGCAGTGCTTGTATGTTTGGCAAAGCAACGCGACGAGCATGGCGAACGAAGGCACCAGCCAACTCATTCACGGCACCACCGCCGGACAGCCCTGGAGCCGTAGAGGCGATGGATCAACTGATATCATCAGTGCATTACGCTAAAAGCTAGTGTAAAGATCTTTCGAGTGTTTTGAGTTTGAGAGAATGAAAGTTATGAGAGAGATTAGAAAGCTATGAAAACTAATCAACGAGAGAGATCATCATCAAGGGATCGTAGATCTGGCTTCCCGCGGGAGACTATGAAGTGTGATAGAGTAGGTTGTAGTAGTAATCCTACGTCTCTCCACGATTCTAAAACGGAACGCGTGGAAGGTTTGTCTAGCCTGGATCTAGTAGCGTGGAAGTACTCCACGCTGGCTAAATATCTAGAGCGATGTTTCATCATCAACCTAGTATGACTAGAGCGGTCATTGAGAACCCTGTCTCAAATGACTATTCACGAGAGACTCAGTCATGAGTCGAACTCAAACCCTATCTAGGATCGAGTCGCGAATAAGGCTAAGAGCCGTGTATTGCATCAGTGCCGGGGCTCATAGGTCAAATGAGGGGATTCCTCACCAAGCAACGGTATACGGTGACCACAGTGTTTATAGATCACCACAGCGGACTGTCCTATGTGCACAACCAACTGTCCACAGGAGCAGATCATACGATCGAAGCAAAGATGGCGTTCGAGAGGTATGCAAGAGCACACGGCGTAACGATTAGGCACTATCACGCGGATAATGGCATATTTGCCAGCAAAGAATTCATGAAGCAAGTGGCTCGAGATGGGCAAACCATCTCATTCTGTGCAGTCAACGCACATCACCAGAATGGCAAGGCAGAGAGATGCATTAGGGACTTGCAAGAGACAGCCAGGACTATGCTTCTGCACGCAAAGCAAAGATGGCCTGAAGCCATCGAAGCCAGCTTGTGGCCGTTCGCGATCAGAGTAGCCAACGACGTCAGAAATGAGGCACCGCTAAGAGGCAAGGAGTCCTCGCCGATCGAGCTGTTCTCAAGAGTCGAGGTCATACCCAAACTGAAGCACAGACACACATTCGGATGCCCCGTCTACGTGCTGAGCAAGCGTCTTCAAGCAGGGAGATCCATTTCGAAATGGACCAACAGAGCTCGGATCGGCCTGTACTTGGGACACTCACCGCGGCACTCTAGGAAAGTGGCTCTAGTGCTCAGCCTCACCACCGGTCATGTATCGCCTCAGTTCCATTGCTCATTCGATGATATGTATGAGACGAGAAGGCCATCAGCAGGTAACCCAACAACAGCATCGTTGTGGCAGAAAAGGGCGGGTTTCCTCAATAGCGGAGAGGAGGAGATTGACAAGCTCAGCTTCTCGTCCCAGCGGCAACCGGAGACAATAGCAAACGAAAGGAAGCACGATTCCGAGGCAGCACCAGGAATCGCCGCGAATAGCGTGCAGGGTTCGCCAATGACATCAAGCCAGCGAGCTGCGCAAATTCTTATGGAAGATTTTGGGATAGATAATAGAGCAAGCCAAAATGACAACATCGAATTAGGCCACGATGAAGAACAACAATCAGCAACTCCACCGGAACGTGACGATGAATTACAGGCAGAGAGCACGGATCATCTCCGCCGATCGGGCAGGGTCCGTAGGCCTACGGAGGCCATGCAACAGGCGATAGAACAAGGTTCGCTGAACGCATTTTATGCACCCTGGGATGTGTTCCACGATGAGTCACTCGACATACAAGAGTCCATGGACGACCCGATGCTGTTCTCGCAGAAGGTCAACAAAGACGTCATGACGTACGATGAGTCCACTGAGCTGATCACGTTCACTGCTTCGTCAAACCTGGATATCATGTGCAATACACGGCTCTTAGCCTTATTCGTGACTCGATCCTAGATAGGGTTTGAGTTCGACTCATGACTGAGTCTCTCGTGAATAGTCATTTGAGACAGTTGAAAGAGAGAGATGCTTCTGGGGAATGATTGTTTCTTGTAGTCTTTTGCTTGTCCCTGAGGAGTTTCTTGATATCGTTGTCGTCTTTCTGACGTATGTTCGATCCGGGGAGCGGGAGAGCGGAACTCGCTGGGGAGTCCTCTTCGTCTGCAGCCATGGCTCAGCGATCTCGCTGGTTCCATCTGTTCTGAAGAACCATCATTGTTGGAGATGTTGATTCTCAACAACGCATCACGACGATGTTCTGTTCGCCCTTTATTTACCGTAGTTCAGGGCCGAATTCTTCCAGAATAAGGCGCCATCGCATTACGCGATCGGTATTGAAGTTCTACATGTAAGATTCTTGTGGTCCGTATTACAACAATCTTCTGTCCTGAAGAATGTTACGGAACTTTTTTAGAGTTTCTACGATCCTGAGAAGTTCCTTCTCGGTAACGGTGTAGCGTGTTGGAGCAGGGTTGAGCTTCCTGCTGTAGAAGCGATAGGTTTTCCCTTCGGGAAATTACTGCACTAGTTGAGTATCACTCGCTGCCGTGTGGATAACGAATGTATCGTTGAAGTCAGGGTAAGCGAGCAAGGTTTCTTTGCTATGATTTTCTTCATCTGGCTAAAGGCCTTGTCGTGTTCGGTTTCCCATTTCCACTTCGTTGTTTTGGAAGTCAACGAAGCGAGTGACCAGTACATGTGATCGTCTAATCCACATGCTCGATAGTAGTTCACTAGTCCAATGAATCTACGGAGTTTTTTTCTGTTAGTAGGAGAGCGATATTCTGGATCGCCGTCTATTTTCTTGTTTATAGGTTGGATCCCTTCTCGAGTAATCCAGTAACCTAAGTATTCAATTCTTCCTCTTGCGAGAAGGACTTGGTAGCATTGATCTTAAGTCCGGCTTCTCGAAGTCTTCGGAGAAACTTCATCCAACTTTTCAACGAAATCTGCCAGATCGCCGTTATTAGGATGAGTAGATCATCAATGTATGCACGGACGTTTTCCAAGTCGTGCATTAGTGTTCCCATCTTCTCTTGGAAGATGTCGGGACTATTACATAGGCCCATTGGCAACCTCTGGTACTCGTACTTTCCCCACGGGAGTACGATAGTGACAGAGTTGTTTCGAGTGAGGTGACAGCTCGTGGTGATAGTATCCCATGTTCAGGTCTAGACTAGTGCGTACTTGAATCCGTCTATGTTCAAGAGCATGTCCTGTATTTTGTGGAGAGGATAAGGCTTCCGCTTAATCCTTTTGTTTAGTTTCCGGAAATCAGAGATGAACCGTACAGATCCATCCTTTTTGGGAATGATAAAAGTTGGCGCCGCCCATCGGAACGGTTTCACCTTCTTGAAGTACTCCTGCTTTGCAGAGACGTTCAACCTCATCTTAAGAGTGTTGGTATGGACACGTGGAATAGGAATAAGCCCTAGCGTGATAGGGTTAGCGTCAGGGAGGAGTTCTACTTCGTAGTCGTCCTATCTGCCACTTTCCTAGAGTGCATCGAATAGGTCAGAGTACTTCGTAATAAGGAATGAAGCTGTTCCTGCTCTTCCTTATTCAACTGTTTTTGACTTTGGCAAACCTGCTTTAAGTCAGCTTGTTCGTTATTTCGCATCAAGAATCTTCTTGAGACGATCTGCACTGTCTCAACGCAGTAGGATCAGGAATGAAGAAATTCTCTTCTTCATTGGTGTCGCTATCTTTCATAGGAATAGATATGCCGTCCCACTCCACTGACATGGTAGTGAAATCGAACTTGAATCCTAAGTCGGAGAGAATGTCTCGACCTATGATCATGTCATACGCCCCCAAGCTCTTGGTGACGTGTAAATCCCACTCGATGATTCTATCTTCGTGGAATTCAGGAATCATAAATGCACCTTTGCACTTCGTGCTGGTGTTAATTCTCCTGCAGGGTAGTCCACATCGTTTGGACGCCCAAAAGATCCTTCATGCGTAATTTCTTAGCATGAGGTTGAGCAATCAAGGTTCCGGATGTCCTGTATCCAGTAAGCAACGGAGTGTAACGGGTTTTGGTTTTCCTTTTTCTCGCTTGTTAAATCTAACATAGACGATGGGTTTGAGGTCTCTTGTCTTCGACGTTTACGGGTGGTTGGCCACAGACGAGGTTAACGATGCTAAATAGATCATCAGAGTCTAGTTGAGCAGCTTCTAGGCAATCATCTAATTTGCCGTAGAGTTCATTGGTTGCAAACAATTCTTGTTTACTAGTTAGTGAGATATCTTCATCATCTTTGGTAGAGAAATCGGAACATGGTTCCGTTGAGTCATCATCCTGGCCTAATCCTCAGATAGAGATTTCTCCATCCAAGTGATTGAAATCGATAGAGGAGTTGTCCTCTTTCAGAGTCTTCTGATTTGCGCTTGCAACATGGTTGCGAAGTTTGCAGGTGGTTGCACGAGTTATCGTCGATCTCGGTGTCTTCGTCATTGTCGACGAGAGGAAGAATGGGTTTGTCACGCAACTGTTTTCTCGAAGTTGCTGAACGCATGTGCTTTCCTTGAGCCATCTTCATGGTGAAGAAATAGATTGAGGGTAGCTGAAAGCTATTGTGTTTGTTAACAAAATGCACCTACGCTAAAAGCTAGTGTAAAGATCTTCGAGTTTTTTGAGTTTGAGAGAATGAAAGTTATGAGAGAGATTAGAAAGCTATGAAACTAATCAACGAGAGAATAATCATCAAGGGATCGTAGATCTGGTCTCCCGCGGGAGACTATAAAGTGTGATAGAGTAGGTTGCGGTAGAATCCTACGTAATCTCAACGATCCTAAAACGGAACGCGTGGAAGATTTGTCTAGCATGGATCTAGTAGCGTGGAAGTACTCCACGCTGGCTAAATATCTAGAGCGATGTTTCATCATCAACCTAGTATGACTAGAGCGGTCATTGAGAACC